ACCTTATGTGCTACCTTGATGATAGTATCATATTTATGAATGCAAATTGTAGTTTGCACATAATTAAGATGATTAATTGTAACACTAAAAATTTTTAATTACCCTAATAACAAGTGAATAAATAGGGTTCTAGTAAAGAGAATCAACAATGCCCTATCCATGTGCAATATATTTCCTTGATTATGGGTGGAGTTATTGTCATAATCTAAATAGTTAATATTATACTATTTTAATATAATTATTTATTCTATTTTTATATTACACTTTTTCTTAAAATTTTGCATTTTTTATTTTTTAAAAATTAAAGGATATAATAATTAATTAAGACAAAAAAGTATAATATTAGTAAATAACAGTCTGTCAATAACATCTTTTTTTTTTTTATTGCACAATGGAAGGCAATCATCTCTCATCTCTTACCCTACTCCACTTGCATGTTATGTAACTTGAACTCATGATCTCTTACTTTTAGTGGAAAAAGATGAATATCGAGTTACGTAGGTCGGTGACTAACATCTTTGGATTATACTTAAACAATAATCCATGATCAAGATTAAATTAATAATCACTTTCAAATACTAAGAAAGATTCCATGCCTTCTAGTAAACTTTAAATTAAAAACTAGATAAATAACTAATAACTTTAAAGATTAGATTAATTAATAAACAAATACCCCCTTTTATGTCAATCATAAAACAACACTATTCTAAATTGAATGATTAGAAGGAACATTCAAGATTAAAAACAAGGGTTTTTCTTTTTCCTTTTTTTTTTTAATTTCTTCTTCTTCTTCTTCTTTTTTAAAAAGAAAGTAACACTAATTAATAGGGGCATTGATGATGTTCAAAAGGTCTTACTAATGAAAGGCAGTCAAAAGTCAAAATTCACATTAACCTCATAATCGCTAATAAAACGTTAAAATAATTATTATAATGAACAAAATACCCATGAACAAATCCGTCACTCTCCACAATGTCGGAGACTAAATCCGTCTTTTCACAACCTGTATATAAGCACACCAAAGCTTCGCTTTCCAGGCACTAGTAATTGCAGTGTGCAGACCAGTTCTCATCTCTCTCTCTCTCTCTCTCATAAAAAAGATTTCGATTTTCTCTGTTTTTCTGAAAGCTCTCTCTCTCAAGTGTTTTATCGAACAGGTCGTGTACTAGACAAAATTTCCAAAATTTTTTGACCCCCGGTGACTCTTGCCGGCAAGTCACCGGTAAAAATCTAAATTAACCGCCGGTGAAACCATTAGTGTGTATGTATAAAGAAAGAGAGGACGCTCCAAAACGGGTGCTTTTTCTTCCCCTTTTTGGGTTTTGTCCACAGTTTCTGTGTAAAAGGGGAATAAGATGGTGGGGCACCGCCGTTTCCACCGTTTGATGGATCGAGGACGAACACGGCTCCAAAGGGGTGTTATTTGGTGCTGCTGAGGATACGAGGGGGATAGAGAGATACATAAAGGGAGTTAAATAGATTGGAATATTCGTATTTGATATACTGATAGATAGTGTTAGATGGGGAAAGTGGTGTTGGGGATGGCGGCGGGCCTGGCAGTGGTAGCTTGTGCGGTGGCGACGGTGATGGTGGGGAAGAGGGTTCGGAGCAGGAAGAAGTGGAGGAGAGTGGTGAGAGTGTTGAGGGACTTGGAGGAGGCGTGTGAGACTACAGTGGGGAGGCTGAGGCAGGTGGTCGATGCCATGGCTGTGGAGATGCACGCTGGTTTAGCCTCCGAGGGAGGCTCCAAGCTCAAAATGTTGCTCACTTTTGTCGATAATCTCCCTACTGGGTAATCAATATTCATCTCGCTGTTTTTCTGGTGGTTGTTTGCGGGTTATTCCGTTTTTGTTGGCGCATTGTGGTCTGATGTTTTGAGCTGGCTTTATTGTTCCTGCTTTTTATAGAGTGATCAAATTCGATTCCTTGGTACTCTGCTTCTATTGATGCATTTTGGTGTGTGTATTCCGTTTTTCTTTCTTTCTTTCAATTTTATCCTTTTCATTGGTAGTTGAATTTGAATTTGATTCAGCAACTACACTAGAAAGGAAGAAAATTTGATTCTTTGGTGGTTGAATTTGTTGCACGCCCAATCTTTCTTTTTATTTATTTATTTATTATTAGCCTTATTTTATTTTATTTTTTTGTTCATCTAACACTATTCACAATCTTGACTTAAAACCGGCTGGTATTTTATCGAATAATTGATTTTTGTGCATTACATTTTATTCTTGGATGTGCTTTGTGTTTGTTTCTTCCGTTCCAAAGTTTTGAAATTTAATTCTATGTTCTGTGACAGTTGGCCTCCCTTTGTTATTCTTTGATGGTAATCGAGCTTGTGTTTGTTTGTTTCTAGTTGGTCACACTATCTGCTAGTTCTTCTGGTGTCTGGTAGCCCTTTTCTGAAATTCTTCTTTCTGATATAAATTTGCTAATTCTCAATTTCTCAGTGGTGGGTTTATTCTTCATATGGCTTGTGGAATTGGTTTTTCGAATAAAAAGGTCTTTGTTTTCCCATTGATGTTACTATATCTGTTGTTTTGACATTCGGCATTGTGATGCATCAAATCATTATACTGCTTTAGTAGGGAATATTATTTTGTTTTAATATTTTAGGCATATAGTTCATAGAATCTTAGTATCTCCTTCTATTCCCCTCAACTTTGATATACATGCACAAGAGATATTTGTGTTAGGTTATGGGCTGAAAATTCTTAAGTGGCTGGAATCTATTGATTCTTATGTCTAATGTGGAGTGAATTTATGTATCAAGAATCATCAATGGAACCTACAATATATTTTTTATTTAGATTAATTGGTAGTAGGGTGTTTATCAATGATATTGGTAGTTATAATCTTCTTGCCAGGCAGTACAGGCCCCATTACTTTTTGAGGGGCTTTGATCAGTACAACATGCAGCAAGATTTATTCTACTACAGTTTAAAGGGGAAGTTTTTCCCTGTTCTTAAAACACCTTGGCATCTGATCAAGTTTTGTTTAAGATTGTTTATTTACTACTTGTTCTGTGTTTACATAAATTGTAATGGTAAAATAACATTGATCTTTCTATCAGATGTGAGAAGGGAACTTATTATGCTCTAGACCTCGGAGGTACCAATTTAAGAGTCTTGCGAGTTCAGTTAGGAGGTGAAAGGTCACCTAATCTTGATCAAGATGTGGAGTCACAACCCATTCCCGAACATCTGAAGAATGGGACAATGGAGGTGACTGTGCTTCTAATTCACTAGTTCTGCTAATTCTTAGATCATATCTATAATATCTGCTACCAGCACTAATGGAAGCTATTGTTTCAATTAGCTGCAGGATCTCTTTGATTTTATAGCTTCATCATTACAGCAATTCAGTGAAAGGAAAGAAAATGGTTCTGGACAGTCTCAACTCATGAGAGAGCTTGGATTTACATTCTCATTTCCCATGAAACAAACATCTGTTTCATCAGGCATTCTAATCAAATGGACAAAAGGGTTTGCAATTGAAAACATGGTTAGTTCTATTTTTCATATTCTTCTGTATGTTCTTGTACAAGTCAACTGCTTATTTGCTTTAACTAGATTTCTTGTTGCTGATTTTTAGCCCATCTTATGGTTGAAAGAATCTTTATTCTGGTTTCAGCAGAAAGAATTGTTCCATGTTATTGGGCAGAATAAAAGAAAAAGTTTCTTGGTTAGCTATCAAGCAGATATAATTACTATTGAATAATTATGGCTTGAATGATTGTAGGTTGGAAGAGAGATAGCTGGTTGTTTACAACAAGCACTGACTAGGAGAGGTTTAAATATGCGGGTTGCTGCCTTGGTGAGTACTATGTCCACAAAATAGGTTTAACCTTTTATTGAGTCTGGAATCAATCAGAAATGGAAAAGGGACTTGCTGCACTGGAACATTTTTTAACATTCTTATTTATGGTTACTCAAAGCTATGTTCCTTTTTCTTGAAATTTAATCATTTGGATGAAAGTTTTCTTTCTCTTTCTTGTCACATTTATATAGTACTTAACTCTAGAACTGAGATCAATGGAATGTATTTTCCAGATTACGTTCATCCATTATTCATTTCTTTGCTTATCTTTGTTTGTATTGTGTGTTTAATGTGGCAAGTAAATGGGGTCTTAATCATTAGTAGATATCTTTAAAGAGAATGGATGATAACTCATTAGAAGAAGTGATAATCTGATGTGGGCATTTATTTAAAATAAGACTGCCTATATGCACTCAATGTATATTTATTGGACATATTCATCACATGTTTGGATAAGTTACTTGGATTTTCTACGCAGGTGAATGATTCTGTTGGAACATTAGCTCTTGGACATTATCATGATGCAGACACTGTTGCTGCAGTGATACTTGGAACAGGTACTAATGCCTGCTATTTGGAGAGGACAGATGCTATAATAAAGAGTCAAGGACTTCTTACAACCTCTGGAGGCATGGTATCCTCCCTTCGTCTAATGAGGCATTTGATATCAAACTTTAACCAAGGCAAAGTAGTTTATGTACTTTTGTCTTTGCTCATGCTACATCATCTCTCTTGTGCTTAGGTTGTCAACATGGAATGGGGAAGTTTTTGGTCATCTCATTTGCCGAGAACATCATATGATATTGAATTGGATGCTGATAGTCGAAATCCAAATGATCAGGTAAGGTTTTATGTTTGCAATAGTTCATAATAATGGCTGAGAATGAGATTTAATCTTCTAGGATTTTCCTGCAGGGGTTTGAGAAAATGATATCAGGCATGTATCTGGGTGACATTGTTAGAAGAGTGATCCTCAAGATTTCACAGGAGACAGATGTTTTTGGGCCTGTTTCTTCCAAGTTATTGACGCCCTTCACCTTGTGGTATGCCTATGTATAACCCTCTCTGTTGTGAGTGCTTCAAGTCACAGAAGTATATGGAATTTGAAGCATTTAATCATTACCGTGTTTCTGCTGTCTATCTTTTTTCAACTGATTAATTGACAATTCTGCGGTTTAGACTCAGTCCATACAAGCAAGAAAAAGCATGTCTTAAGGAATGCAGTGAAGAAGATTAGGCCTGTTTGAATGAAATATATGAAAATATTTTAAAATGCTAGAAAACAAAGGGAAGTGGTTATAATATTTGACAGGGGAACCATAAAAGCAATGCTTTTCTTAGGTCATGTGGAAGTTAAGACTGTTATTGTTCTCCCTTTTGGCTGCCTCACA